ATTTGCCGCTGGCGCCGCCGCCGCCGTGGCGGCAGCAGCGGCGGCCGCCGCAGCCGCGCCGACGATGGGCGCATCCGATAGTTGTACGGCATCCCCCCGACTGGTTCATCTCCACCCTGGCGGCCTGGGGTCGGCGGCCATGTCCTTGATCGCCGCAGGTACGACATTGTACGACATCTCGATAGAATCTCTATTTGGGCTTGCTGATTATTGTGACTGCAAGTCGCCTTTTAGTGTGTTCCGCTTTGGCGTTAACTCGGCCACGCGGTCACATGCTTACATCCATTTCCGTACATCTGCCGTACATTAAAACCATCGCTAAGTACCCGCTTCCCCTTTCTTTGCGTACGTACACACACACATACACACACACACACACACACACACATACACACACACACACCGCCCGGCAGGCCACCACGTACCCAGGCAGCAAATCATCGCTCAGGCGCGAGGGGTGGAACGACTTCTGGCATTAGACGTAGAGGAAGCCCTGGCGCGTGCGCCGACGCCGCGCGAAGTGGCTACACTGACCCCTGGGTCGCTCGACGGAATGGGCCACCCCGTCCTGCTCGCCGCCGACGGCGCGCGTATCCTCAAACGCATCCCCGATCACATGCCGCGCCACGCTGCCGACCGGCTCACGGCGACGCCGCTGCGGCCCGAGCAGCTAAGTGTCGTACTGGGTTCGGTTCCGGATTTAGATTTTGATTTGTTGGAGCACAGCCCTGACGGCGGCGACGGGAGTTCGTCGTACGATGAGGCGGATTACTTGCCGCTGTCGCAGCGCGGCGGCGGCGGCGGCGGCGGCAGGGTTGGCGGCGGGGGTGGGGCGTTATGTACGGAAGGCAGCACGACGATGCTGGGCGGCGGTAGCAGCGGCGGCAGTGGCGGCGCTGTGAGATCCGTGGTGGGAGGTGGCGTTCGTCGCGGCGGACGGAAAGGCGGCGCCGCCGCCGGCGTCTCCGACGCCGTCAGCCCGGTAAGGATGGCAAGGTCCTGGTCATCACCTGCACGGCAACCCCGCGGCGGCGCCGCCGCCGCTGCCGCCGGCGCCGTCCATACGCGAAATGAGACACTAGACGGCTCCGCCGGCGGCGGCGGCGGCGGCCTGGCGGCGGAAAGTAGCCGTACCAGTGTCCGCGGTGGCGGTGGCGGCGCCGTCGGCAAGTCGCATCGGAGGAGGAGCCGCTCGCCGCAGCACTCCAGGGAAGGAGCAGTGTCGCCGGGCCATGGCCGCGGCAGCGGCGCCGCCGCCGCCGCCGGCGGCGGCGGCGGCGGCGGTGGCCGGCGGGCATCTCTTGTCGGCGAGGAACCGGCGCCGACGCCACCCAAGTGGCTGGGCATGTACATACCCAAGGTCAGTTAACACCGGTTAACAATAACCGGATAACAAACCGTTGGTAGTTAGCGGTTGGCGGTTGGTGGTTGGTGGTTGGTAGTGGTTAACGGAATCCAACAACCCGCCCTTTTTACGCAGGAGGATCCTCTAGGCTTGTGGACGGGTAAGCGCATGAGCAAGACGGAGGTGATTGTGGAGAAGCGGCTCTTCGCCATGAGGCACAACCCCGGCATGCGACTGGAACTGGAAAGCCGCGCATCGGAGGCGTTACGGCAGCGGGCGGCGGCGCAGGCGGAGATGGCGGCGGTGACCAGGGCGCGGGAGGAGGAGGCGCTGGCGAGGAAGGCGCAGCTGGTGGGGAGTTTTTCGGGGGGGGTATTGATGTATGCGTGCCGTACTGATGTACGAAATGCGGTTTCTGTTACGACGGATGGGATTGCTGCGTGTGTGTGCATCTGTGTGTGTTGGGGGATGTGAGGTAATAGAAGGGAATTGGGGCTTGGAGTGCGTGCGTGCGTGCGTGTGTAATCGGGTGCATATTTGTATGTATGTATGTAGTGTGTGTCCGTGTGTTTTGTATATCGGGTGGGGTTGCTTTCTGTGTCTTGTGTATGTGGGGAGAGGGCGTGTCTAAACACCCCTCCCAAACGCACGCACGTAGTACAACTTCGTACAAATCCTCTAAATCTTTTTCACTTTCCCCCGAATCCCCCGAATCCCCCGAATCCCCTTTTCCCCCCAAAACCCCCACGTTTCCCCCCCCCCTTCAGCGTGCCGAAATTGAGGCCCGACGCCGGGGTTGGGGCCCCCGCGATGACCTGCGTGGTGGCATGTACGGCATGGTGGGTTTCGGCAGTCGCTCCCGCACCCCCCGGGGACTCACACGGGAAGCCAAGCTAGCTCTGGAGCGGCAGCTGCTGGCGGAGGCAGCGGCGGAGCCGCGGGGCCTCTCTCCAGGGAGGAGGCGGCGACAATCATACAGGCGAACTGGAGGGTGTGTTGGGAAAGGGGGGGAAAAGACTGGGGCCCCTGTCGTACGCATGGGTATATTTCCCTATGGCTATGTTGCTGGTACTGCCGCGATAGAGAGCCCCAGGTAGAGATAGACACCAAGGGAATGTAAACCTCAGCAAGGTGGTAGGGGGCCATGGGGGGCCACAACCGGCTGCCGTACACTGCGCAACGGACTGCCGTACACTGTGGTTATGGTGTGCGGGGCTTGGGGGGGGGCGGGAAAAGGGGAAACAGGGTTTTTTTGATGGAGCGGTGGTAGCATGGCGCTATCCGGGGACTAGAACAACAAGGAGAGGGGGGTGGGGTCCACGGACGTCGTGTAGCGGGCGAGGTAGGGGGCGAGGTAGGGGGCGAGGTAGGGGGCGAGGTAGGGGGCGAGGTAGGGGGCGAGGTAGGGGGCGAGGTAGGGGGCGAGATTCCCTTGGATGCCGGTGGTGGTGGGTGCGGGGAACCTGAGCGATCCACTGAGAAGTCGGCTAGGGTGACTGGATGAGGGTGTGCCCCGGTTCAAAATACCGGGGAAGGCAGGGTTGCGCAGGGTAGCTGCCACGGGTGAAGATATACCCCCCTGTTTCACACATCATACATACATACATACGTACATACATGTATGTGTGTGCTACACCTTGTTAGTACATACAGACAAACAGGCGAGGTAGATGATGGAGGGGGAGATGACGGAGGTGATATGGCGCGTGACGCTGTAGCGTAGGCCAAACTATGCCGTACACTTTGGTCATTTTTCTGCACCTCTGCACGCCGTCGCCATACGTGAATAGGTAGTTGAGTTAGTTGTTGATTCCGTAAGCCATGTTAGCCGTACTTTGCTCGTACGTTTGCGGTTGGGGATCATTAACTATTGGTTGGTTGGTTGGTTGGTTCCGTTTGCAGATGTACCGGCAACGTCGTCGCTTCTTGCACATTCGGGCCATGCTGATTCGGATTCAACGAGCCGCCCGCTTGCGGTACTGTGTCGTACGCAACCGGCGGCGCCACGCCGCCGCGGCGGGTCTGCTTTTGGAGTTTCTAAGTGCCATCGGCGGCACTCGCCAGGCCTCAGCAGCGATGGACTTGCGCGAATTACATTCCAACTGTGAGATCGTGTAACAAACTAGGTCGTTTGCCGTAATTTGGGATAATGTACGACATGGTACGGAAAGTACGGGAAAGTGGTATTTTCGTTCGGCTCGCCCTCTCACCCCCGAGACACCGCGCACATCGGCGCACCCCGAAGGGCTCGTTCCCCTTCTGTAGTATTAACAGTTATTGTTAACAGTAATCGTTGAAATATTCTAAGGGAAATGTAGCTTACTACACCTTCCCCGTCCCCGTCCCCGTCCACGTCCACGTCCACGTCCCCTCACCCACCCACCCACCCTCCTCTTCACCCGCACATTCACACGCCCATGCTCCGTTTCCTTTAGCCGTCTGTGAAGCCGGCTAACCCCCCCCCCTTTACGGCCATTGCCATGAGTAGCCATGACATGATCTAGAGACGCACGGCGTGTGTTCCCTCGTGTCCTGCCGGGAGTTCCGTGTTGCCTTTATATTTATTATTTATTAAATGTTATATTGTTTATTATTTATTCCTCTAAATATCCCAAACTTGAACTTTTCCCCCGGTCCGACATACCAATACACACACGCGTGCAGATATACGCCGACGGCTCTTAGAAAAGAAGGGCGATTTAAAGCACCAAACCGCAGTTGCCGTACTGGTGCGGGAGTGGGAGGCGGTGGAGGCCAGAATCCTAGGGCTCCGGAACCGCAGCCTGAAGGGTACGGCACTAGCTGCCATGGCAGCCATCGGCTTGGCGCCTGGCACCGCCGGCGGCGGTGGCGGCGGCGGTGGCGGTGGTGGCCACCATAACGTACATTACCGGGGGCCTGCTGGCGGCGGCGGCGGCGGCGGCGGCGGCGGTTCGTCTCCAGATAAGCCCCTGTTGGCTTCCTTCGCCGGGGAGGCGCATTCCGCGGCGCATGGAACTCGTCTGTTGGGGAAGGCGCTGGAGGCGAGGAAGAAGGGCGTCATGCTGCTGGCGGGAGGTGCGCGTGTGTGTATGTGCGTGTGTGTATGTATGTGTGTATGTATGTATATGTGTCGTTTTGAAACATCTGAGCCGCAGCCCTGAGCATATGTGCGCGTATGTGCGTGTGTATGTCTGTTTACCCGTGTAAAGAGTTTTACGTACCGAATTTAAACAGCCTGCGTGTGTGTATATGTGTGTGTGTAGGTGCGTGTGTATGTGTGGTTGTATGGTTTCCCCTTTTTCATGCATCCTAGATTATTGAATTATCATTATTATTATTATTATTATTATTATTATTATTATTATTATTATTATTATTATTATTATTATTATTATTATTATTATTATTATTATTATTATTATTATTATTATTATTATTATCTCCCACTCCAAGCCCCTTCTTCCATCCTGCATTATTACCCCCGCGGCGCGGTGCCTAAACAGGCAAGGACCTAAACAAGCAACTGACGGTGGAATACGCGGTGGCTCGTGCACTGGCCTCGGACCGTGTAACGCTCACAAGTCGCGAGCTGGTCCCCAACGAAGTGAAGGCGCTGGTGTCTTCGTGTTATATGGAACACAAGGCGGTGTCGTACACGGCTTTAATTGGGTTGGTGTGGAAGGTGAGGATGGGGCGGGGGGGGGAGGGAAAGAGAGGGGATAGGTAGCGGGTTGTTGTGGAGGTTGGGGGTTGGAGGTTGGGGTCTTTCCCTTTCTCTTCTTCTTCTTGTTTCCTTTCCCTTCTCCTCCTTCTCCCTTTCCTCCACACACCCCCCCCCACACACACACACACACGCACGCACCACACATACACAAAAAGGGGGAATACACGCGGAGGGGTGCACACCCTCGGGTGGGCAGGAGGGGACTGTTGCCCCTCACGCCCCTCTTCCCCCGCCGCGGGGGGGGAGAGAGCGTCAGTGCTAACCGTTACCGTTGGGGTTTTTCCGATTCGGTGCCCCTGGGCAGCGTCCCAGGCCCGGATCGATGTGTAACCCAGAAACCCAAACACACACACGCCCTCTGCTCCGCTGTCCCCACACTCTTCAGCGGCGAGCTCGGTGGTTCGGTGTGTTCAACCAGCAGCGCCACATGGCCATGGCGCGGAGTGTGGTGGAGACGGGCAGTGCGTGGAGAACCATGGATGCCCTGGCCAAGGTAAAGGGCGTACGTGTGTGTATATGCGTGTGTGTTTTGTTTATGTGTGCGTGTGTGTGTGTGTGTTGTGTGTTTGTTTATGGCTTAAGGGGGAGGGAGGGGAGAAAGGGGGCTTGACAGAGCTTGGGAGCTTTGGGGGGGGAATGGGGCGATGAATAGGATTGTGTTTTTAATTAACGTTTTGTCGTGTTTCTTCCCCCCTCCACCTCCTTTTGAAAACACCTTCCCCCCCTTTAAATGTCTGTTCCCCCCTCCTCCTAGACCCGCCAAACGCCTCCATTTCCCCCCCCTCCCAACACCCCCCACCCCCCCAACCA